AAGGAGCAAAGAGAGGGGGGGGGGGGGGGGGGGGGGGGGGAGAGCTCCTTTGAGAAACAAAAATCTTCTCAAAATACATGTGACAACGATTTGTTCTTGTTATTTCAGAAAAATATATATTTTATGTTTGAGAAGATCATTTCAACGTCTTCTTTTCAGATGTCTTCAATACAAAAGATGTTTCCGCCATGATGGTCGTTTTGCCGTCCAGGCTTCATCCTTTAAGCACACTTTACATTCTCTTTCAAGTCTCATCTCTTCTGTATCCGTTAGAAGCTGATGAAAGAAAGAAAAACGATAAGAAAACTTCTAACAGATTTTAAGCTTGTAACGCTCCGTTAAGAAATCTTCTTCTTCTTTACATAAGTGATAGAATATCATCGGAAAAAAAGATTTACTTAGTCCCCTTCCCCCTCTCCCAACCCTTCCTTCCAATTCTCATTCTTCCTTCAAAATCTTTCTATTGAAAATGGTTTTAGAACGATTTCGTGTGCTGAGGCCAGCTCTGCTCAGCCTTTATGTGATGATGGAAAAGGCAAATAACACTTGGAAGGTAAGGTGAAAAGACGATGATGATTTGTGTATGTACATATATGGTGCTGATCAATATCCCGGAGAGACAACACATCATTCAATAGAATTTCAAAGAGAGAGAAAGAGAAGAGAAAAGGAGCTCATGTCTGTTACTCTCATTCAATTCTTTACAGAGCCAGATAAGGTTTGATTGGTCAAACATACATCCAAAGTCTTCAACAGCCCTTTATGTCCTCTTCGTATTTCCCTCTCTCTCTATACCTCCCTCTCTCTCTCTCTAGTTCTTTCTTCGTGTGTTTCAATTCCTATTTCACACACACACTTAACTTTCAATTGAATGGTTAATTGTAATATTTGGCCGATAATTGTATAAATAAATACATTGGAAATTGATAAATCCATGAAAAGATCAGACAAACGGCTGCCAATTGGCCAAATTTCATCGACTTCAACCATGGCATGAGACGATAGTCTCTCATATTTCGCAACATACAGTTAATTATAATATTATAATTAGCTTGGGACCTTATAATTACAGTGAGAATTGGGTTTGACATCTACATCCCCTCCTTCTCACACCCTCTTCTTTCAGCCTTTTTCTTCTTTCTAATACTGTGTGTGTATGTATGTATGAGAGGATGATATGGCTGGCTGAAGGAAATGGTTGGTCCCTCGCTCAACTAATATGTTCCAACTTCTGTTCGAAGTTTTTCTCTCTTAATCTACATCGCCTATCTCTCTCTCTCATGCATACATACTATCTTACTCACATCTTTCTCTTCTCTTTATACCTGAGCTTTCTGAGCTCCTGATCCGTTAAATACACGGAGCACTACGTTATGCTTCATAGACGATGAAGGGATTACGGTAAGTGAGGCGGGACGAGACTATGACAGTCAGAATGGGATGAGGAGATCTCGTCCTCGTTATACAAATTCTCTCACGTATTCTCATTTATCCTTTTGTTTTTTATGCTTAAGTTAGCATAGCACTATATAAGGATACAAAGATATGAGATAATGATAAGCATGTCACTCTCTCTCTCTGAACTCTCTCTCTCTCTCTCTGTCTACATATAAGGAATTCTCTGACAACTAACTTCAAACTATAAAATTATATGGATCAATAACTAATTTTGCTCCCTTGCTTTGACGATTTACCTTTTGACTGAACACATGACAATCTGTGTAGGACAGAAAATGTGTTTGGATAAGCCTGGAGCATAAGAAGAAAAAACGAATAGAAAGAGCAAGTGAAAGAATAAAGAGAGAAAGAGGGAGAGGGTGAGAGAGAGAGAGAAAGAGAGAATGGAGTAGATTTCTATGTAAAGATACACAAATCAGAAGTCTGAGAAGGACAAAAGCCGAACGATTCGGAGGAATAGACAAGACTTCTGTAACAACCAGATAACCTTTTTCATTTTCTCTCTCATTCACTCTCTCTTCTACTTTCTCTCTCTCTCTCTCTGTCTGTGTCATAGCATTCTCTTCATCACATCGGTTTTCACACATTGGAGAATGGTTGAAATAAACGTAAAACTGACTGTTTGGTGAGGATCCGAAGAGTTATTTGATTTGCAATATCTTTGAATAAGCTGTGTACGGTATCATCGAGATTATCAGTGATCTGATCAAATGGAAGAGCTTTCCAATTGTTAACTTGGACAAGACCTGAAAGAAATAAAATGAATGAAACAGTTCTTAAGTTGTGTTATCCAAATAAGGAAATGCATGTGTATTCTCTCTTCATATGTTATGTCATCCACCCTAACCCCCTCTCCCACCTCTCTCTCTCTCATTCTCTTATAGCATCAGAAGAATCGTTTTTTCAATATCTTCACAAAGTTTTGTGTGAACGGTCAACTACATTCAATGTTACAAAAATGATTCTTAACTTCCCGATAAGACATGAAGCCAAAGCCGTTCAAGACATTGTAAGTGAAAAACGATGATGAAAATTCCTTAAATGATGAATTTTCATCTCTTTCATTGAATCTATAGGGCTTCATTCAGCCATTTGAACAAAAAGCCAAAAAAGGAAATGAAAATGATTAAAGAAAAAAAAAAGATTTTTTTCCATTCTTTCAAATCATCCTTCGTCCTTCTACTCTTTCCCCCCCCCCCCTTCCACCCCTCTCTTCTTGGATAGGGATCGCCTATGCCTATTGTAATGACTGATAAAGTTTGATCAAATAAATTCATTTGAGAACCCTCCTATTGCGCTTTTCTTATCTTTCTCGCTTTAGTCTTCCTACTTCTTGTTATTGTAGAAGAACAACTTTCGTTTTCAATCTGCCAAACGTCTTTAATCTCGTCAAATCGACAGCCCCTCCTTTCCTTTTCTCCTTTTTTTCAAACAAGTGCTTGGCTTGACATCAAAAGCCGGTTAGAACAGGTTGTAGACGATTTGTAACATGGCCATGTTTGTCTCAAACTGAGGTAAAACGCTTAAGAAGATTGTATTAAGCTTATACCATCAGCTTAAACCATTTTCATGCAATCTACCAAACTTTTAATGTATTAGAGGAAAAGAAATGAAACAGGAAGTGAAAGATGTAATTGGAACGATGAAGCTAGAATCCCATACGATAGCCATTCCCTCAATTGGCGTTTCAACATGATGTTTTCTTCTGATCGACCCCTTAGCGATCGCACGGTTAGTTTATTCGGTGGGGGTTAAGAATTTGGAAGAGTTTATACAGATGCATACAGAGCATATAGTATTTGAGAGAATTTAGAGAAAAAGAGAAAGAAGATTCCGTCTGTATTAGGAAAGACTCGAGTATTCTGCCAGCCCCCCATTGGTGAACAGGTTTCCTAATCAGCAGCAGCCATCCACATAACATGAGAATAGTCATTTTCTCTTGTACTCTCATCATTTATATTTTTCTCTCTTTCACCTCCAAATACCATATAAGGAAAATATGGCATAAATAGCTAGCAGATAGACTACAAAGGATTGAGAGACAGTCATGAGAAGAACAAGATGACGAGGGGCTATGGCAAAAAGCCATTCTCGTTGGGTTCCATTTATCGCGATTCAAAACCCCCTACACCCCCCATCTACCTCTCTCTCTCTCTCGTTTGCCTCTACTTTGATCAGAGAAATAAAAAGAGACACAAGATTATTCATTGATAAATCATTATCAACAAACTGAAGTTGTATATGTTGAAATCCGAAAATGGGAAATCGTTTTTCGTGTTTCGCCTCTTAGCAATGCCGTCTATTCATCTCTTTAACCCCTAAGCAGCAAGTAGTCTTTCTACTCCCTTTATTACCACTCTCTTATTTTTCATTTTCCATCCGGTCTCGGGATTGTCAGAGGCCTTTCAGCCATCTTCAACTTTTCTCTTTTTCCCTCTTACCTATACCTCTTGTGAATACGGTAGATTTGGAACAGAAGGACAAGAAGCAAGACTGGAACGAGAATAAGAGAGAAACAGAGAGAGACAGAAGAGAAATAAGAGAGAGAGTAAGACAACCAGCTGAAATCCACTAGACATTCAGCTGTCACAACTCTTTTGCCTTTCAACGACAAAACTGTGGGGTATACAGTCTCTCCCCCTTTATGGTTACATGTGTTGCTCCAAAACAGCTGTGAAATATGAGAGAGAGAATGAACTGGAGGTAAATGCATCCAATGAAATCGGAATAAGGTGTTTGTCGTTATGAAGTGATGAAACTGAAGAGACGACAATATGATGAACAAAGGTGTCATCACAACAGCTGTACCATTCCTTTTTTGGCTTCATCCGACAGACTTTTTCATTGACAATTTGCACCATCGCCACATATGGAATAAGTTTTGAGAGGGCCACTGTGATACAATTGCCTTTTCACAAATATCTCGTCATCTTCAGATGATATTTTTCTTTTTTTTTCCTTATTCAATAAAAACTTTTGAAAACGGAAAAGTCAAAAGCGCTGACTCGTTAATGCGGGTGGTCGAAGTTAAGAAACATAAAAACTTCTTTTTCGAATAAGGAGAGTCAGTCTGATGAAGAGAAAGAGAAAGATGAAATGAGTGTAAGAGAGAGAGAGAGAGGAAGATAGAAAGAGAGAGAGAGAGAAAAGCCAATTGTTAAAGAGAGTTGGAAAGAGAAGATGCTCAAATGGTATTCTTTGTGGTTCGATCTATCTGTGAGTCGGATGTTGGTTCAAAAAAATGAATCATCTCGCCTTCATCCTTCATGATGACAAAATGCAAAAAAGAAAAGATAAATATGTTGCGGTGATTATATGGAAATAATCAATAACACCTTCTGATCCAATTAGCAAATGTTTCCTTTTCATCATCAACATCATCATCTTCGCCATCTTCGTGGTTGTGATCGTCGTCGTTGTCGTTGTCGACGTCTTTGCCTTCTTATTCATCATTTTTTGTGTGTAGTTCATTTCGTTCTTCATCAAAATCCAGATGTTACACAATTCTTATTGCACGGCCTTCAACAGCTTTCCATACAAGAGAGATTTTTGAATATTGGCGCCCAAGAAAGCTAAGAGAGATTTCTGTCATTCCCCTCTCTTTCCTTAGATGTCTCGTTCTCAAAAAATCTGCCAGACAACTACGTAACAGATGCTTTGGGGTGGGCTTAAGCCGTTTTCAAGGAAGAACGTGTTTCAGTTCTTTGCAAAGCAAGTGAAAGCTTGTTCCCGCTTTCACTTGTCTGCCCTTGGCGCATTGAAATCCAGATAGGAAAATAAGCTATAAGAAAGAAAGCTAAATGGAAAGAAAGAGAAAGCTGAATGGATAAAATAGAAAAAAGAGACAACACGGATAATCAGAATTGGCAAGGGCGTCTGACTGGCACCATATCCACTTTAGAATCAAAAAGCTTAACGATTTCATTAACCAATGAAAGTGAATGCGTAACATGTACAAGAAGTGAGAGAGAGAGAAAGTGAGATAGTAGAAAGAGAGACGAGGAAGAAGATAATGAAAATGATATAACACATACACACATACACGCAAAAAGGCTTTTTCTCCATATAAGGTGAAACGTTCTCATCCCATGATCTGTATTGATGACAGACGAGAACCATATTGGGTATATTTCAATATTTGGCCTGATGCATGATGGGTTAATCGCTATTTTAACCAAAAAAAGGCAAATTAGAGATTGTAATTGACAGATGATATCACATGATTTCAAATGATTAGAGATAGGGGTTGAGAGGGTAAGAAAGTAAAGTGAGAGACAAGTAGAGAGACTGGATGGAACAATAGCCGGGAACAATTGACGATGCCAATTGCTGTAACATTTGATTTTCGATAGCTCTTCGATAATCGAAAACTTCAAACTGTCGTTATCTATTTAACCAAATAAGGAATGTTGAGATCAAATCAAGAAATGCCTTCTTTTTCAAACTTTTTTTTTTTTTTTTGTTCAAAATAGTTGATTGAAGATGGATGTCTCATACTCTCTTGCAATGTCTCATTCTCTCTCTCTCTCTCTCTCTCTCTCTTTATCAGTCATTGGCTGTTAAAACCCTCGTTTATGAAAATCTCTTGAATAGAACATGTTGTTCAGGAGACTCACATACAGAATGAGAGATGCAAAGAGAGGAAGCAAGATGGTAAGCAAGAGATGCCACATACAATACAAACTTATCAAAATGCATTTTGTTTTGTAAACAATCAATTGACTGTGGGAGGCAGACGTTTTCTTCTCAGATCAATCATGATTTTCATATTATTAAGGATTTCATATGAGAAATACGAAAATTACTTGTAATTAAACTGAATATGAAGTCATTCTCGTTGACACATCATTTCGAAATGCACATTAGCCATCATAACATTCCATGAGCAGCCTCTCCCTCCTTCTTCTCTCACATACACACAAATTCCATTGCACTCCTTATTGAGTTTCATAGATGTGTGTGTGTGTGTACGGTTGTGTGTCTGTCTGTGATTCTCTTTGATATTGACAGTCATAATGATAGTCATTGCCTACGGCAATATTCATCATCAGCATCATCAGCTTAACCATCAATTACTTCTAATAAACAATGACAAAACATCAAATGATAAAGAGGGAAACAGAGAGAGAGATAGAAGCCGAGAGAGAGAGAGAGACGACAAGTATTGAGAAAGTAGTGGAACGATCCGTGACTCTTTCTTTTCACTTTCGACAACTTTTTTTTTAGTCGTTGAATTGTTGTCTTCCAACTATTCACCAACATTCAAAGTATACTCTTCCACCCCCTACCATCCCACATATTGTCAGCTTTTCCTCTCATTCGATTTTACATATAACATGTGAAGAAGAGATACAGAAGTGAAAACTCAGTAAAATAGTAAATAATAGAAAGAATGTGAGCGTACCTTTGGCATTAACAGCCAGCTGAGGATGTCCAAGAGCAGAGAGGACTGTATCAACAAGTTGATTCAGAAGAGTTGTTCCAGAAACGATAGCATAAGTATCGATGAGGATATGACCGTCACTGGCACACGTTAAGCAGTTCTGCGTACGGACCGTTTCCACGGCCACCCGTACGGGGAACATCTATAAATATATAAATGAAAAACAGAATAAAAAATAATATATAGATAGTAGTAGAGAGAAGGAATGAGATGAGAATACATAAAGCTAAAAGAGCAGATTTATTGAATTGGCCTTGTGTGCACGAAGACTGATGTTATTTGGGTAGAAGGCTTAACCCGCAAAAGGATCTGAGGGGATGGGCTTAGGTGTCGGGCAAGTAGGCGGGGCTTGTCGAGAAGAAGAGAAAGGGGGCGGTAAAAGAGGAGAGAGATAGAGGAAGCCGTTTGGAAGTATGTGTATGTCATAAATGGCAAGGCAAGAAGGTTACGAGGTAGAGGAAGCGATGAGATGTTGGACTGAAAAGATCAGAAGGCACAAAATACAGATAAGGACGAGAGAAAAAGTAAAAAAGGGAGAGAAATAGATGAAAAGAAAATGAAAGAGAGAGTAGGATAGAGGACATGAAGAGAAACGAATGAAGACGAATACATAACAGGTTTGAGATGAGGTGATGTAGAAAGAGAGAATGAAAGAGAAGGGGCTGAAGCTAATACGTCGACGGCAGCAGCTGTATCAAAAAAAGAAAAAAAAGAAAAAAGATCAAAACTGCCTGTCGGACAGACTACGATCTTCCCCAGAATCTCATGTTGTTGTAAAAATATATAAAATGTCCTCATAAGGAGAGAGATAGAACAAAAAGGAAGTCTAGTGACTGATGACAGAGAGAGAGAGAGGGAGAGAGAGAGAAAGAGAGCTTGATGGAATCAAGTTAGTCAGGTATGTTAGGGCTGTACCTACAAATTCGCTTGAGGACCATGACAGATTGATTTGTAATCCAATGCGTCGAACGAGCTGGAGTGTGACAAAAATTGAGAAAAAGTGTTATAGTTAAGGATAATATAGAGAGTAAAGAGAGAGAGAATGAGGAGAAGAAGAGATAGCTCCAACGGTGGAGGATACGATAAACATTCAAATCACCACACAAAATCCCATGAATTAAACATATTCTGGAAAAAAGGTTAGTGCCTATAGAGAGGAGATAACAGAATCATATTTGATTCACAAAACAGTCTCCAAATGATATAGAAGAGTCGGGAGAGCAGGTAATCTATAAGTGTTCGGAGGGAATATATGAACAAGAATAGAGAGAGAGAGAGATAGAGAGATAGAGAGAGAGAGAGGGATGGAGTGAGGAAAAGGGAGAAATGGTAAAGTTGATGTTGAAAGCGGATATTCGATATACATATATACATATAATATAAACAACAAAGAATAGTTAAATCAGTTGAAAATAGCTAGAACGTCAAGTTGAAAAGAAGTTTTTGTTTCGAAAATTACGAAAAAGAAAAAAAGAAAATCATATTAGGAGGCGATGACTATAAGCTGAAGATGAAGCATACATATACATATGAGGAATATGGATGGGTGGGGGGGGAGGTGGAAGAGGTGTAATCAAAACATTGCACATCTGAGAGGTTGGGATGGATTTGATGATTCAAATGTTTGTTTGATAAAGCTCTTTGACCTAGGTGATTGAAAAAAAGAGAAAAAAGCAGAAGACTTATATGGAAGTGTATGATAAGATAAGGAAATGGCCTAAGTATGTGAGGTCATATTAAGCATAAAGTTAGAAAACAAATAGTAATTGAGAGTCAAAGTGAATGGATCAATTCGGCCTCTAACTATGCGTGTGTGCCTAGAGAACAACAACTAAACTTAAATCAGTCTATAGGGAAGATATGGTTTAAGATAAACTGATAAGAAAGAGCGTATGATGTCTACCACTATTGGTGTCAGCTTGTTCAACAACGTGAACACAAAAATGTTCGCGAAAAAGAAGCGTTCGTTGCAAATATGGTGGGAGAACCACGCTAATTAAAGATGATAGAGAAGAAATGATTTCATGTAAGCATGTAATATTCAAGAGAGTAAGAGAGATAGAGAGAAAACTTTACAGAGAGAGAGAGAGAGAGAGAGAGAGAGAGAGAGAGAAAGGTAGAGAGAGAGAGAGATGGTTACTATCGAAAGTCTTCATATATCTTCTTTACAACTTTTTATTTTTTAACTATTTTTAGAAGAAAATCGAAAGGTAACATAACATTCCAGCAGCTCTCTTCAACCATCTATCCATCCATCTCCCTCTCTACCCTATACACCTATCTACCTTTCAAAACTAAAACCAATTAGTATCATATAAACGATATTTGAAGATTAAAAGAGGCGGATGACATGTTTCTTTACTAATTCTTCTTTAAGAAGAATAATAGAAGAGCAAGTTGAAGAGATGACGGACAGAAACGGACTGACTAGGCCGATGACTTCTTCAAAAGGCCAAAGAAAAATAAGCCTTTGTACAGAAGACGAAATAGACCGATGAGTCGACAGCCGACAACGTCATCCCGACAAAGTGATACGAAAGATGTACGGAACATCCTCCGAATATGCAAGATTATGTAATAGAGGTAGATGGGGGAGAATGAAATGAAAACTTGAGAAAGCTCTACTCTAACTGTTCGCATCTGATTGGCAGCAGAAAACATCATTAAGTAAGAGGAGAAGGAAGAACGAGGTGAATTGACGAAAGTGAAAAGATGGAAAGTAGAAACTGGCTTTGGGAAAAAAAGAAAGAGGAAGGAGAAAAGGGGATGATGCTGCCGTCAGCCGACGGTGATGTTTCCTATGAGACAAAGACGAATAAGGAGGTAGGAATGAGAGGCAGGATAGTCAAGCAATAACATCCTTATAAGATAGTTTTTGTCACCAAGATAGTAGATGAGCACTGGATGGATAGTTGGATGGAAGGATAAAGATGTTGTTAAGCTGAGATGCTACTTCAGCTGACATATGGAATAAAAAATAAATGAGAACATTCCTAAAGATAAATGAAATATAGAAGACGAAGAAGAAGGAGAAGAAGCTTAAAGTACGTGGCAGAGAGAGATAGAGAGCTTCATCATGCATTAATCACTGGCTATAAGACCATAAACAAAGAGATTTGCAATTTACAGATGTTGTTAAGAAGACTTGATATGAACGTGAAATTGAAGAAGAAACTTTACACATCTTTGCCCAGAATCAGAGCCAGTGATGAACAAGTGAAAGAACCATAGGGGGTAGAGGAGGGGTGGAGCTGGCTAACCGACGATCGTCGTCAGAGCGCTCGGCGGCCGCGTCGAGCGATTAGCTGCGGATAGGCGGGACTCGGTGGCGAAACAACGCCACGCCTACATTTTGATTGTGGAAAAAGGGGGTTCGAAGGAGAGAGAGAGAGAACGATGGATAGCCATTTATACCTTTTAAAGAAGAGAAAAAACAAGTAAAATGTTGAAGAAGGTAAGAAGTGTTTGGATGATGAGTAAAATGAAAGAGAAGGGATGAGAGAAGAAGAACAACTTGGAAAACTAGGAAGTAAGAGGTGGAGAGGAGAAGAAGAGTGGGGGGGGGGGGGGAATAAGGGCATCTCCCCCCAGATGAAAACATGATCAGAAGGTCAGGTAAAGCACGTTGAGTAATCTGTGCGGAAAGAGCAAATTGAAAGTTGAACAACTAACAGAAACAAAGAACGGATATCAGGATTACAAGTCAATGATTCTCACATGCAAATCCAAATATGGAAATCGCTCTACCGAAGAAGATCTGAGTCAGATGTGGAAAAGGGGTGGTGTATGAGTGTCAATGTATATACATCTACGTCTATGTGTATAAAAGAAGATGATGAGATGAATTTTTTGGAAAAAAAGAGAGGAGGTGATAGCAAAAAGAATAGAGAAAAGAAGAGAAAGAGAGAGAGAGAAAGAGTGAGAGAGAGAGAAAGAGAGAGGGAGAGCTATGAATGGCGTACACGGAGATTCGGGATGAGGACAGAGCAAAACCAAATATATATAAAGAAATATTTATATTTTATCGTCAATATATGGAATGATGGAATATCTTATACAGGTCTATACAAGCTCTATCATTTAACTATATGTATAGATAACCAACAGACATAACCAAAGACAAGCGTGAGAAGAGAGGCGAAAGCTGACCAAAGGTTTGCGCTGTGATATGCTAAAGTTTCATCAGAAAGTCAACAAAAGCTGGAGAAAGCTATAGATTGTCAAAGTATAAACTGATAACAGCTATGCTAAAGCAGTCAGTTAGTCATTTGAGTCAGTCAGTCAGCCTTCTTCTTCTCCTATATGATATGTGATTGAGCTGGGGGGAGAGCAATCGCATCACACCAATAATCGCATACACATGTAATCTCTCTATCATCAACAGGTTGATATAGTATATAAATATATGTGAAATCATATATAATCTCAGATGAATTCAAATATGACATGAGACAGTCCTTCCACACACACACACACACACACACACACATACTCATCAACATAGCCGCCAACCGATTTTGTGCAAATTTTTTTTGATTTCCAAATAAAAGTTTATAAAACGAAAGGCGATTAAGTTAGCTAAGTGATTCTCAATATGGTAACGAATCGATTATATATTTAACTATATGATATAGATAAATCTTATTATTATAAGCTAAACACAGTTATTTAGCTGTTTTTAATGGATTAGAATGAAGTAAACATAGATGATAAGATACGGTAGGATAAGTCGAGTACACGCTTGATTGACCTTCATCCACTTCAAATAAAACATTTTTCGTCTTTCCAACTACCATTTTTGGTTATAAAAGACTTTTTTGGATAATGATAAGATAAGTAAGCTTCTATATAACTCTCTCCTTCCCCTCTCCTAACACCTTATATGGGCATATGTAGATACTTCTTTGCATATTTCAATAATAACCCATCACACATACATATACACACACACAAAAAACGGACAACGAGAGGAGGTAAATATCGAAAAAGATAACGCGAACGATCAAACTTCCGCTCTCAAATCTCTTTTTATGCAAAAAGGTGATACTACGATTCATAGAACTCGGAGGTTACCATTTACCTCTAAAGAATACAAAATGCATGGGTCGACAAAAGCAAAATAGAGTAACAGATAGAGGGGGA